CCACTGTAGCCTCATTATAACCCACTGTAGCCCTAATGCAAATTGAGTGTCAGTCTTCATTGTTTGAAATTGGTGTCATTATTTCTAAAGTACACATATTTTATCTTGCAGCAACAAAAAGTAAACAAGAGTTTATGATCACAGAAATAAACTATTTCAAATGCAAATCTGAAGTTTGGACAAAAAGACGTTTTTGAAATTACACATAACCTCATAACTACCAAAACTGGACATAACAATTTAAAATTACAGAATTACAAAAACAAAAATACAAAAATTTCAAACATGTTCACCTCAAACTTACAAGAAACATATAATTTCTTAAAACAACAAAGTGGATCAAAGTCTTGGAATTAATTCAGAATTAAAATCCATAAATCTGTAAAATGTACTTTAAGTAAGAAAACCTGATCTCACAACAAAACGTGACGTCTAATACAATCATCAGTTTCACGGAATAGTTCATGTAAAACCACGTCATGTTGAGAAGAATCAGACTTAATCTTGTTTTGACAAGAAAACTGTTTCATAATTATAATTAAGATCTAAAGCTCAGCAACATAAAGTCAGAAATAAAATCTGCTTTGTGTAATTATATAATACACTAGCACTTGTCATTGTGGCTCGTGATTGGCTGTCGGACCTACCGAGCTTGACGTAGATGTACCGTGATTGGTTCATGCAGTGGGCGGCGGTCAGGATGATGTATTCGTTGAGGATCGTTCCACCACAGAAACCCTGATCGTCCTCGTTCAGGAGCAGAGCCTGCCAAGATAAAAAACACAGTTTATTATGTCCGATGAAGCTCATTGGTAGAAACATCTGCTGCAACTGGAAACGCTCCTTCCTGATTGGCTGAAAACACCTGAAACTTTTCTTTGCTACTGTCTGGACAAAGACACGGACTGAGGCAAGTTATTGTGGATCTTTGGGAGTTTAGAAGAAGATCGCAGCTCAGTGTGGACACTTAGATCTTTGTTTTGTCGGCATTCAGGTGGGATCAGGTGATAACTGTAATCCTATCAGGGAACAACTGGACTTCCTGTCGTCTCTCCAGGTGTCACAGACTGTTTGGAGATAATAACGGACACCTGGATGATAATGATAATGATTTCTCTCCTCGTTGCAACACAAAAGTTCTTCAGTTACTTCAAACCCCTATCTGCTGTCAGGTGTGTCTTTACCTGCCACGGACACTCTCCAGGTGGACAGTCCTCTCCGTTCACGATGCGAGTCATTCCCGCCATCTGTGAGATGATTTGTTGCTCGATGATTCTCGGTAAACTGTTGCTGCTGTTCTCTGCTGTGGACAGAAGATCCAGAACGTCTCGCTGCTCGGTTGCGTTGACGGTAACATTCAAATCGGTCGTGTTCGCCGTCGTCATGTTTGTCCTCTCGTACCTGAAGACCCTCCGGGCGTTTTCGGTGATGAGGGCGCCACATTTGAACTTTTCTGAAAGAGTTGGTGAGAAGTTTAGAGTTTTAAAGGATCTGGGAACCAAAACGCTGAATCGCTCAAAGAACCTTGAGGTCTGATCAGTCTGAGAACTAACTGGACAACGTGGCTGCTGTCGGTTCCTGAGTCGCTCACCGTTGGAGTTGCAGGACTTATCGTCCAATCCCAAGAAATATCCGTCAGCGCAGGAGCACTGGACGCTGCCTCCAACCACGTTGCAGAAATGTTCACAGCCGCCGTTTTTGTTCTCACAGAGTTCAGGAATCACTGCAGAGACGGAATAAACAGAGTTTAGATGAGAACACTTTCTAATGTAGGAGCTCTGAGTTGACCAGAGGTGGCGTCAACATCTCCAGAAGGTTTGGGGGTCTCAGTCTGGAAGCTCTTCCTTGTCCTCATTGGCTGTAAACGAACAGGTCTTGGTTCTGCTCCTCCACAGAAAGCAACATGGACTCACCACCATCCAGCTCCTTCTCGTCTGGTTCACTCTCAGTAGCAGCAGAATAAACAGATGTTTCCAGATGTTCCTCGACAGCAAAATTCTCCATCTGCCATCAGGCTAGATGAGTCATGTAACCCCTGCAGAACGTTCTGGTTCTACCTCGGGTGCCCCCCCCCACCACAAGAAGGTGGATCCTGATCAGAAGTTGAACCACCTCAGCTGGACCTGTTGAAGAACCAGCAACTCGACCGTGAACTCGTCGCCTTGTTCTGAGTCCAGAAACCCTCAAACTCAGTAAAGATCAGAGATGTGGAGAACCCTGGAGGAAACCCTCCACAAATAGGTCTGACTTTGTGTTCAGTAAATGAACACAGCTCTCACTTTCATTGTTAAATACTCCTTTTACACTTCTGGAGAACCCTACTGAGTTCCCTGGAGAACACACTCATTGGTCTTCCCTTTAAACCTCATGAGGACTGGATGGTCCAACTCCCATGAGCCTCTCAGCAGCTCTGCAGGACAAACTGTTCCACGGCCAGGAAGGAATCCTCACGGTTCCTCCTGAATCTGAGGTTTGATCACACATCTCATCTGGCCTGGGAACACCTCTGGTTCCTCCAGGAACCAACACTGCTGGTAGAGGAACATCTGGAAAGACCTGCTTAGTCTGCTGCCACAGAGAGAATCTAGATCAGAAGAAGAAGGTGGATGGAAGTTCTCGTAGACTGTGATGAAACCTTTACCTTCAACAGAACCTGCAGCTGTGTCTATGTACATGCACAACAACGTTCTGCTGAGTTTGACCCTTCAGAGCAGCTTTCTGTACCGATTTCACAGTTGAAGCCCTGGTAGCCCTCCTGGCAGTAGCAGGTGTAGGTTCCAATCCCGTCTTTGCATTGTCCATCATGTACACACGGCCCCGAATAGCAAGCGTCGCCATCTGCAGGACAAACAGAGTAGGTTCAGTTTGTTCTGCTGGTGAAAGACGGTATTGCAGCCTTAACTTCAGAACTCGTCTTCTGTCACATCGTTAAGTTTCAGCGTTGAACACAGAAGAGTTTCCTCACCGACATATTTGGCCCAGAAGTCATTCTGAAACAGGAAAACAGGAAATCAAACAGTTTTAACCAATTTTAAAGCCGATCAGTTTGTCTGTTATCAGAAACAAAGACTCCCTCAAAGCTCCAGTCGGCCCGTTTTATATGTTGGATTTAGTTTGCAGTTGATCAAACACACCAAGAAGTAGCTCCAATGCTAACTGCTAACCGCTAACCGCTCCCAAAACCACAACATGTAGTTTTTACATTTCTGTTTTGAAACCTGAAGAAGATCTGGATGTAAACTGGACTTTGCTGAGTCTGGCTAAGCTCGACTGTTCTTTGATGTGAACCTAAACCCGTGGGATTCCCACAGCGGTCTGTGTGTTGCTGCTCGGCTTGTCGTGGTGGATGTTCAGTGTTTTGGTGTGAAGCTGAAGGAGGTTGTTACAGTTTTCTCTTTGTTTTCGAAGATCTCTCGGGCTTCCTCCCAGTCGCAGCGCTCCTCCATGCATTCCCTCTCCATGTTGCCTTGTTTCAACTCCTCCAGAAAGCTGTTGGCTCTTCTGGGCCGCATCAGAACCTGGCTGGCTGTCTGGCCGTCCAAGAAAACTGATGAGAGAAAATAGATGTGGAATAATGGAAACTAATTACTGCAGAAGAGTCCTGTTCAGTGTCACCTGACCCTCAAATGATTGTCTATCGGCTCTGAGTGACATCATTATTTTAGAACAGTTCCTGCGATGAACAATCATGAGCCCCAGAGTAGAACCTCAGTGGATCATGGTCCTGACAGTGAAGCACGGAGGTGGCAGCATCATGATGTGGGGCTGCATGAGGGCAGAAGGTGTTGATGACATTTCTAGAAGCTCCATGAATGTCTGAGGATGAACCAGGATACTGGCTGACCAGATGAAGAAGAGGAACATTCCAGCCGGAGAACATCCAGAGAACAACATCATCAAGAGCTTCTACAGCAGAACCAGGTGGAACCAGAATGTCTAAAATAAGACTTTTTTTCCTCCAAAAAGACTTGAAATGTTCATAAAACAAGTCTGATTGAAGTTTGTCTAAAATGATCATGAACTTGTTCAGAATTACGTTTGATGTGTTTTTAGTTTAAATGATTTGTTTAAAATAACTGCATGTGTTCAGAATTATTCAAATTCGCCCAAAGTCAGTCAACATGAGTTAAAAACGTTCTAACGTGACTCAAACTGGTCTTAAATGACCCAAAACCCAAAACCCAAACCCAGCAGAGACCAAGCCTGAAGGAACCAGAGATGGACTCAGTTCAGGTCCTGCTGTGGAGCCTGAAGGTAATCTGTGGATCTGAGCGGGTAGTTTGTAATCTGGTATCAGAGAAAGTACTCTGCTGTAGGAGTAATCTGATTACTGTGAGGGGATACAGTTCCTTACAGCTCTTTATCTCGTGTCTGTAAACACAGATTCAAACTCAGCCGTTGGACCCTGTCAGTGACATCAAGCACAACAACCTGAACACAGAACTGGAAGAACCCCAAGTCCACAATCCTGCAGGACGTGGATCTGAACGTACCGTGAGCAGCGGCCGGCCGGAGCAGCAGGAGGCCAAGGAACAGACGCAGACACCAGAACATGGCACCGACGGACAGAACTCGGCCTGAAGAACCTCGGAGAGCTGAAACAATCTGACTGAGAACAGACACGAGGGCAATGACCTGTACGGAGGCAGAGGGTCAGCTGACCGGACTGGGAGGGGCTTATCTGAGGCAACCAGGAAGAGAACTACAGCTCCCAGAGTGCACTGCTCCCAACATCAGAACCAGGAAGAGAACTACAGCTCCCAGAGTGCAGTGCTGCCAACATCAGAACGTCGTCCCAGGTGTCTGGGTCTGAACCAGGACCACCACAGTGGATGTGTCCTGACAGTGAAGCATCATGACATGAAGCTGCATCAGTTTATTATGATTCATTTCAACACGTTCTGACTGCAGGTTTTACTGGTTTTACTGGTTTTACTGGTTTTACTGGTCTCCTGCTGGTGTGTGGATCAAAGCTAAACACTCTGGCACAAGAAGTCACGTCTGTCTGAGTTCACCTTGACACCACAGCAGAAGCAGGCGGTGGTGGGCGGGGCGTTTGGAATTTAAAGCTGTGGCTCAGCAGCCAATCAGCTCGCTGCTCTGAAGAGGTCGAACGAGTTCTGTGAGAACAGTCCAATCAAAGTGTTTTATAGCTTCACAGATCAACGAACAGCAGCAGAAAAGTTGGTATAAACTCAGACTAATTCAGTGATGGGCGGCCGGACAGCTCAACAGGTCGGGCAGGCGACCCACGAACACGGGTTCTGGTCCCCGACGCCGCGGTTCGAGTCCAGCCAGCGGCTCATTGGCTGCGTGTCCTTTCTCCGCTCTTGCCCTCATGTTTCTGTGTCACTCTTTCACTGTCCTATAAATGAAAGGCATCTTCAAAACAACGAATGCAGTGACGGTTCAGTGAATGTTACAAAAACACAGAAACGAGTTTTTATGAAACGAAGACATTCAGCAGCGACTGAGTCAAAACGCTTTATTGGTTTAAGTTCATTTTATTCAGTTTCCATCAAATGAAGTTAGAAAATAAACGTTCAGGTTTGGAAAAATCTTCAGGAACAAAATCATTCATTTAATTGAGCTAAAATCTGACGTTTCAAAATAAGAGTGAATTAAAGCAGTGAAAGAAAGTTTAATTCTGTAAATACGTTTAACGTAGCGACAGCTAAAGATTCGCTTTAATCGCTGAGTCATGATTTATGTCCAGACTGTGAAATGTTGGAGATGATTCATCAAACATCCAAAAACAAATGATTTCAACAGAATCTAGCTTTTAATTGTATGAAAGGAGAATTATTGTGAAAGGACCGTTTCCTTCCATTTTACAGCATTTCAAAACGCTGACAGAAGAACTCTGATGTTTCATTCTCGAACCTAAAAACCAACCAGAACTTTTTCTGTCTCTCCATTAAAGCGGTTTCTGGTCCAGCAGGTCCGGTAGCGGCGGTGGGTTCTTCATGGCGTCCTGGACCCAGTCCACAAAGGCGGCCATGTTGGTGTACACCCCATAATACCCCGGCTGAGCGCAGCCCCGCCCCCAGGCCACCACGCCGGTCAGGAAGTGGGTGGAGCCGAGCAGCGTGACCAGCGGGCTGCCGTCGTCGCCGCGGCAACTCTCCTGGCGACCCTCCAGGTATCCGGCGCACAGCATGGTGCTGGTGAAGTTGAACTGGGCCCTCTGTGAGCACTGGGCGTTCTGGAGGAGGGGGATGGTCATCCTGCGGAGGACGGGCGAGGCGATGGCACCACTGGGCGAGGCGGCGCCGATCCTCCGGCCCCAACCGGACACGCTGTGGTACAGCAGCGGCAGCAGCTTGCGCTCGGCGAAGGTTCTGGTCGGCAGACAGACCGGAACCACGAGTCGGTTCAAGGAAACGGATCGACTGAGCCGCAGCAGAGCGATGTCACTGTCGCCCGTCGCCATCACGAAACCAGGATGGATGATCGCCATGGAAACAGGTAACCGCTGTTCGGTACCATCATTCACATCCAAGTTATGTTCTCCTGGTACCGGAGAAACGGCAGGAAGCTGAAGTCAGGTCCACCAACAAATAACTGATGCAAACCTAAATACTCATTTAAACATGTGACCAGAAACTTTCAGGAAACAAATAAAAACATTCGATAAAACTTTTACCAAATAAAGAAACGAGCTGCAGAAACAGAACCGGTCCGGTAGACTTAGTCAAGATGCTGCTCACCTGCCACCACGGTCAAGTTGTTGGGGTCGTTGCCGTGGATACAGTGGGCGGCGGTGATGACCCAGTCGGGTCGGATCAGAACTCCTCCACAGTGACTGTTTCCATTTAACTGGACCAGAACCTGATCAGAACATAGAGGTTAAATCTAAGCTTCGTGGTGGTGGTGTTCCGGCAACGTCCCACTCAGATGTCCATGGTCCCAACGGGTCGAACCTTAAAGCACAATAACTCTGATTGGACACAAGACACCGGATGTTCTGGTGCCGAGAGGACAAACCTTCAGACTTGATCTCCTCTCAACCTTCCTGATTAGAAGGAGCCACAAAGACGTGAATCTAAAGAGACAGGAGTCCAGAGGATCCGTGAACAGAAACCACATTTAGATAAAACCTGAAAGTGCGTCTTTGGTTCGTCTGGAGCGGATCAGAACATCCAGGTCTGAGAAGCCTTCAGTCGGAGTTCATCTCAGCTCCGTGTCAACACGCTAACATGGAGATAACAACCCTGTTATCACCCATCAAGTACCACAACATGAAGAACCTGGACAGGAAGCGGCTGGTACCAGTTCTCCAGGTTCTGAGGGCTTTACCTGCCAGGGACACTCTCCTCGGGGACACTCGTCACTTCCCACCACTCTGGTCTGAACCACGTCACTCTGGTTTCGTCCAGATTCTGCCGGAACCAACTGGCCACAAGGGAACTCCACTGAAACCACAAGAACCCGTCATGTAGAGAAGAACTCATCAAACAGTTGTGAACTTTCTGGCAGAATCAACATGAACGTGTGGAACCCTGAGCGAAGCATCGCTGCCCGTCTTCTCCCAGTTGGTATCCGTCAGAACAGAAACATCGCCGTCTTCCCTCAGAATCGTCACAGAACTGCTCACAGAGTCCGTTCTTGTACAGACACTTCAGAGATTCTTCAAACACTGAGGAGCAGAACCGCGAACATTAGAACCCTGTGATCAGGTTCTGTCTTCATTCATCAATAAACCAATCAGTCAGTAGAGGCAGAAATCAATAACAGCAGCCTCATAAACAGGAAATAAACCGACGATCTTCTGACCTCTGATGGTGAACACGAGAACTGTTCTGCTTTATGAGCTCGAGAACCATTTCCTGATCGATAATAATAATAATGACAACGTTTCCATAAAAGCAGTGAACTAAAACAGAACCGTGTTCGTAAATCTGTTCCATGTTTTCTGATTGGTGGTGGAACCTCTCAGGACACTGCAGCGTTCTAAAGGTTCTACCTGTCTGGCAGTGTTGTCCCTCGAAGCCTTCATAGCACTGGCACTCATACGAGGTTCCCACGTAGATACATATTCCGTTGTTCTGACACGGGTTCACCAGGCAGGGATCCCGATCTGATGGAACACCAGAACCTCAGAACAATTAACCACATCTGGAGAACCGGGCTGAACGAACTTAACCGCAGGTAGAACGACAGGAAGCAGAAAAAAGAACACTCTCTGGTTTTATCAGCTGCTTGGGAACATTTCATCTTCATCAATCTGATATTTTTTAAAATATATTTTTGGGCTTTTGCCTTCAGTTGGAGCAGTAGAGAGAGACAGGAGGAGACCAGGAGAGACCTGCAGCCACGGGTGGTGAGCGGGACTCGAACCCACGACCGCTGCGTCAGGGAACTAACTAGCTATAGCTAACTGTAGCAAACTATAGCTAACTATAGCTAACTGTAGCTAGCTATAGCTAACTATAGCAAACTACAGCTAACGATAGCTAACT